CAAAAGAGAAACGATAAAGCTATATGGATGAAAGCAGAAGCCGCTGCATAGTGCAGAACAGAAACCTGAGCTGAACTATTAGTTCAACGCCGTCGAAGACTTAGACATCCTACACTGGTTTTATGGGGTGGCCATTTTGTCTTTTCCATCAGTGCACCCCTAGTCTCCACCTTCTTTCTTAGACGATGAAGAGGAGAAGCCACACTAATGAGGAACGCACAGCGATCGGTCGGACTGCCTATCAGCGGTGCCTTTAAAACTTTTTAGCACTATTCGGAGAAGACTGGTGCAACAGCCTGAATAGGTTGCAAACGATAAAAAAACCCAACCATGGGGAAGGGGGATGGAGTCATCTTGTGGCACTTTCACTAGTTCCTGTTAACATTTTCTTTTCAACCTTGGTGGGACCTGTAGGCTCTTGTCAAGTGTAAACGAAGCTTATGCTACTGCACAGCTTTACAAGACCTGACAGGTCTCCACAGAAGCCATCGGCAGTGATCGACAGGACCAGCGAAATGCCCACACCAAGCCGATTACGGCGGATAATTTGAATAATACAAAATTGCTCACCTTCTTTTCGCAGCAGGTCGAGAAAACGCGTCCAGACAAACGCCATTTGCTATGAAGAACTCTCTCGTTTCACGAACCAGTCTGGTTTCAGCTAAAGCCAGACGGACTCCAGCACTAAAATTATTGAATTATGTAGAAGTACTGAGTAGAACTGATGCCAAACCTGAGCCTTACCTCTCTCCACCTTCCGAATTCAGCAGATCACCCTTTTCAACACCGAGTTTTTCCGCTAAAGTGTCAGCGATTGCGTTGGGTCCAAGAAACAACGCATTCCATGAATGGGACTGAAACCACAAATTCACCTTTGAGAAATCTACTGGTTCTTGAACCGACATTTGTTCTCGAAAGCACATTACACAGTAACCAGAGGGGCGGAGACGGACAAGCATTGCCTACATTTCAATATTTCAAATTCATTACCAATCCACCTGAAACGGTGAGGAGGAACGTTACAAAGCAGAGTACTGTTTCCGCCCTCGAGCTCAGCGCGGAATGCATCTTCTACAAGTGAACAACGCACTCAATTGAATGGAAAAAAAGCAAACCTTTGCTGCGTTTGCTTTCAGCTTCGACAGTTTCTCCTTTTTATACGGAGTCTTTCCAGATGACTCTGTTTTCTCCGGTTCCTTCTTTTCACGTTTTTCCGAACCAGGGCAGGAATGATGCATCATGCGGCCCTTAAACACGACAGCTTTTCCGGTTCATTAGCCAATAAAAATAAAGGAAGTAGAAACCTTGAAAATAGTTCCATCCGCAGCGGCATACGCTGCAACAGCAGATTCCGGGAACACAAATTCCACTATGGCGAATCCTTTACACTTGCCAGTTTTCTTATCGATTATTACCTATAGCAAGCACGCTGTCATTTTCAACTGTTTGAATATACACGACGATAACCTGATAAGTAATACCTGAATTTCAGCGATTTCTCCAAATTTCTTGAAGAAAAAGTGCAGATCTTCTTCTTTCGTGGTGAAGGGTAAATTTCGTACAAAGAGTCTGCCCGTTTCCAAGGAAGTTCTTCGCGGATTTTTGCCTTAATTCAATTTACATTACGATTACGTCACAAGTAAGTTTCGCGATCACAATGTGAACTCTCTTCTCCCCACCATATTGCGAAACCAGCACTACGATGCTCCCAGAAAGCCCGCACGCTCTTACTGTAATTGTCTCAGGAGGAGTGAAAAAAAGTTAAGAATTTCAAAATAGACGTAATGCTACGTTCACAGTAGGCGACACCAAGCGGTTCAGTTGACTCAGCCGCTGACAATGAACACAGCGTAGTGTGTTTACGGCTACATTTAAAACCAAAACAACAATAGAGTACATGGCAGAGCGAAAATGTATTAATGGGTTTGACTGCTTGAGAAATTGAAATGATTTTATAAAAAGCAGACAAGCACTTGCATTGCTTGGACGAAGCCGGACCACCCATTGTCCCTTCTTCCGTGGACCCTTCCTCCTGATGAAGTAAAAGAGGGAGGCGTGGGAACGAAGAGCGTATAGATGCCGGTGCAGCCCTCGCCCACATGAGCGAGCGATTGAAAATGAGCATTTGAAGGGGAAAAACAGCGCCTGTATCGTTCTTGGGCTTCATATATTTCAAAACGAAGCCGAACCACAAAGGATTGACCATCATGATATGTTTACTCGATAACGAAAACAAGAACCTTTCCAACTTTATAGCCTCGCTAGCTGCGGATGATGAGACGTGTCAGCGCGTCTGCGTTTGGCACGTCGCCAGCCCGTTCTTTACCAGTCTTTGGAGAGGGAAATTAACGAAAATTGGGGAAAACGACTGATACGAAGGATATGATACAGTTTTGTAGTTTGCCAAAGGAAAAAGAAAATAAACGGGTTGGCTCCACGCTAAACGGCTGAACCCAACAGCGCCGCAGCGCCGATACGCCCAATCATGCTCGGCGAATGAGACCATTGGTCTTTTTTCATGGCGGTTTAACAAGCTCAAGGCAAAACCAGCTATCAGGTAGCAAATAGCTCTGCTTTATGCGAACAGCGCACCAACATGAATAACTTGCAGACAATGAAAGATAGGCTGTGCTGTGAACTTACCTCTTCTGTCTCCCTACTAATTGTGTTTTCTTCTTCCTCCTCACCCTTATTCTCAGATATCTCCTCTTCTTGAGCCACTTTTGAGATTGTGAGCTGTAACAGGTTTACGTTTATCGGAGCACATAATAAAATCACGTCAGTTATGTTCTTCCCTACATGCAGTGACCGTTACGGATAACTATTAAGGAATAACTGGCGCTTTCTAGGTGATAGTCTTGACCTGAAAGCTGTTTCCGCTAAAAAGAAACCCAAATCCAAAGTGCCAAGCCCTAGCAGTAAACCCAGAAGTACGGTAGACTATGGTAATGTAATCTTCTTGAACTTTCCCAGGGTTCTGCCGTGAGAGTTCGCGAATAAATTAAAGACATCATTTGCCTGAGCTTCGAAATGGACGCTACCGTAGTTGGAAGGACCATTCGGGCTGCCTTGAATCCCTGCCAGAAACTGAAGCGTAAGCGTTGGTGGAGACCAGTTTTCTCTAGACTATGAGACGAAACTATCCCTTGGGGACGCTGGTCGTCTGCGCTCCATTTCGAAGCCTCTGTCAGGGAAGGGGACACAAGGACATGAGCGAGCGGTCCTTCCAAATAGATAAGCGCTTCTAAACGCACCACAGCTTGAAAATTTCAGACACGATTGAAAAGATGGAGCGCCCGATGAGAATGGCCGCAAAGGGCTACGCATGGAAGCAAACAAACAAGAGAAGGAAATTGGGCACAGCCTGCAAGGTGGGGGCATTTTGTTGGTTCCCATCACTCAATTATAGCGGATACCTGCAAATTTCTGTAAAGCTATGCAGGGTCATGAGCTTCGTTTGCATTTGACAAGAGTCTACAGTGCAGCGTGATTCCAACCCCCCACCCCGCTAAGCCGAATAGCGCCGAAAATTGGCATGCTTCAATGAACTGAGCCTGTGGACGATGAGTATAATAGGAAAAGCATGTGTAAAGTACAAGGTTTTCGGTGTTACGCCTTACCTTGTAGCCACCAATGAATTCCTGATTTCTCTGCAGAGCTCTACGCACATCCGGTGGACGATTAAACGTTATAAATGCTACTGCAGCCGTTTCATTTCTTACAATCTGAGAAGAAAAGGGGTATTGTACAGAGTGAGAGTGAGGCAGTGAAACAGCCTCAACTGAAAGATTTACCTTCATCGCTTTGACACGCACTGGGCTTAACCATTCCTTCAGGTTCTTTTGCTTTATAGAAGCAGGCAAACCAGTGAATATTAGTGATAGCTTAGTGTCGCCTGAAAAATGGCGGTAGCAACTACAGAAATTTTCTGATTCAAATACAGCCTTGTCCGCTGCAGACACTGTGGCATCCAGAAGAGGGGATGAAGGGCGGGTTGGCACAGAGCCAGCCTGTTCGCCATCAACTTGCAAGCTTAAAATCGGTGGAGATCGGGCTGGTGCCGCCTCGAACCCACACACTAAAAGTCCGTAGCGAAGAAGAGTGAGACAGGACGAAATACCTTACCACTTATTCCATCCATCAACTCCTTTAATAGCTTTGCGGTTTCTACGGAAGCATCGGTAACAGTGACTTTCTGAGGCTGAAATAAGACGATTTGTTGGAAGCATCGGTAACAGTGACTTTCTGAGGCTGAAATAAGACGATTTGTTTTCAGACAATGAAGCTGCAAATTGAAAAAAACGAAACTGTTTCTTCTTTGATTCCTTGAGCCTCTAAGAAGTTGCTGTATTCCGGATCGAGTTTCTTCTTCTTTTCGACAGCTTCGTCTGCATTTGTGTCCTTTTGATTCCTTTTGTGGAGAAAGTGATATATCTTTGTGCGTTCGTTTGTAGGCACTGGAAATCCGAGTATTTTCTGAGAACAACAGTTTGGGTGATTTCAGGGCAAAGGTACTTTTTAATTTTTAATTTCAAGAACTTTCAAAGCCTTTCTAATGAGATGGGAAATCAGGCTGCGTTCACACATGAAGATCCCGCACAACTGCAGAATCTCTCCAAAGAGAATATATGAGTATGGATCTGAAGAATACGCAGATCCCGCGGAATCAGAACTAACGCACAGGGCCGGGAATAAGTGATCCTATCAAGATTTCTCCGGTCTCCGGCGATTTCGCCAGTTCACCAAATTTTGGTGCTCAAGAGTGGTATGACCAGCACTTGTCCTCCCATTTTATGATGAACATAAAGGCTAAAGTAGTTCTAGGGAAAGGAGGGGTCATCGGGCTACGTCTGCCCTGCCAGACCAAGGCGCGGAGACCCCGGTCGTCCGTGCTCTACTAAGGCTAAGCAGTTTCTCTCATATTTCACTCAGAAAAGAAACAGCATTTTTGAACGAGTAGTTGCATACCTGCTATCCTTGGAATACTGACTCCAAGCACGTGGCTTGTTCGCATCGCCGAACGGTTTGCATTCCTCTACCTCAAAAAGTAACAGCTGTTGGAAGATTCTTCGAACATTACAGAACAAGGGAAAATTAGAATAATTGGAATTAGGCGATAAAAAGGGTGGCAACCCAGTTGACTTGGGCCTCGCGGTGGCGACTATGCGCCCCTCACCCTGAACAAGGCTTTGGCTTATTGCAAATTTTGCCCTTTCCGCGTGGCTTTCTCTAAGCGATTCTGGTTGCCTGTGCTCTAACCCTCGGCCTTGATCAAGGGAAGGATGCAGGGGACTAGATCAACTACACCAGCACCTAAAAAAGGGCTTCGCTCACATGAAGACGCGAAGATCCCATATAGGAGAGGTCCGTTTCCTGTAGAGCTTTCTTGGCATTTTCCTCGCTATCGAATCCGACGAAAGCGAATTTTCGGAATTTTCCTTCTTTTGTATATTTCAAGGTGCAATCACTCAAAGTGCCATATTTTTTGAAGAACTTCCGCAAGCTTGCCTCCGTGCAATTCGATGGCAAGCTTTTAACTATGAGGCGTGTTGTCATAAAAGACCTGCAAAAAAGTGATAACTTCGAAAAGTCGTTCAAAATCATCTATGAGTTGAGAATAAACGATATGAAGTGCAGTGCTGGAAGCAACTGTACGGAAAACGATTCATTAGAGTTCATTAAAACTCTGAACAATCACATCAAAACGACGACAACATCACAACTACTTTAATTATTACTCTTACTTAGAGAACAAACAGGCAATCTCACCACTACAAGGCTTTCGAACTGCAGTCTCAACATATGGCGGAGCCTCTTACTTATTTGAGAAGCAGAAAATCAAGCAACACTTACAATAGGTCCATAACAATTAGCAAGGTCACTTTTTCCCCTTTGCTTAGCTTAGGCGTCAAACATAGGAGGCATTGTGGAATGCACACATACACACTACTTCACACCATAATTCGTTCTGTGCCTCTGCTCGCTCTGTGGAACGAAGCCAGACCACATGGTTGTTGGGGAATCCCCAATAGGGGGGGTCGTACAGACTCTAAAATCCCAGCCAGTGATGTGCACTGAACGAAGCTATGGGATCTTATCCTGGAGTCGCTCACTTTCTTCAGAAGTTCTGGTTGAGGCTTATCCTTTTAGAAGAAGACTCGCTGGTTCAGCCCACCTAATAATCTTGCCACAGTTAACAAGCCTGTAAGCAAGAGCTTTCGAAGCTTTCGAGCTGGAAATAGTTACAGGGTGCAGCGCCATGACCTCTGGCTTCTTCTGAAACATTGAAGGATAGAAACTCAACGATAGGGGGGAGGGTGGGGGTACGTAGTGACTACTCCGCCGTTGCGGTCAGGGTACACTCCTTATCACTCAGACGGAGTAGGCGTGGCAACTGAACATGGTATAGATGACAGAATGGGTCACTCGTGGGATATTTCCTTTCAGATCAACTGTCATCTCGATCACAGTTGAACAAAAACGTGGCCAAAATTATGTCAAAATGAAAATATCTCACGAAAACCACGTCCATCGCAACATTAGTTGAAGTACGCAGCCACACCTACCACATTTCAGGGATTTCGAGTGTACACCAGTGGCTTGAAGAATGTTAACTTGTTTAGTTGTCGGTTTATTATAGGTATTTATAAAGATCCTATGTGCGATATGCAGATAGGGATCAATAATTCGTGATCCTGGAGCTGTCGCCCTTACCTGTCGTTGCATTATTTCAAATAGGTCCAAGATTTTGTACAGGTATGGAAGCAGGCGTCCGGAGACGCATCACATGGCATAGGTCATATTTTAGGCGATAACATCAAGCTACCATCCCTTCGTTTAGGTCTCATGCACACCCAATGTCAAATTTAATTTTTAATCCTTCTAACGATTTTTATGAGAAAGTATCGACGCGAAGAGAAGGAAGAGTTGAATGGCATGGACGGAGTTCAATACAGGCTCTGTTTCCTGCACCAGTCCTGCGTGAGAGAGCAACGCGTGCTACTGTGTAACTGTTTTACAAGTTCTCACATCTTACTGCTATGAGCCACAAACTTTTTAGCCGACTTCCCATTCTGTTGCTTCTATTTTGCAAGATTTTAAGTCTTCTGGAGGCAATCTGAAAAACTTTGCCTGGTGTGAGGTTCAATCACACTAGAAAAAGTAAAACGCACTGGTTACTGAGAACGATCGCGTTTCCAGTGCTGCAAGTCCGTCTAAGTGCTGTCTCAGCCTTCAAGGTATTCACCTCGGATCTTTGGCAGAAGCATTGTCGTACAGTCATCATCACTCTTAGAGATATTGCTACGATCTACCGCCCAGATGCGTGGACCCTCGCAGGAGAGTTCTAGGACCTGAGAAGGTGGTGCTCGAGCTTGATCGTGGCAGATATTGCGATGACAATTCTTTTTTCAGAACTAACTGCTAACTTTTTGCTATTATACTCAAAGGAAACCTCATTTCAGAGTCTCCGATCACTTGGTTACATTTTTGGCTGAAAGAATTAGACAATGATGTGAATGTTGGCTGTCTTACGGAGTGTTGTACTTGTTCGACAAGCATTCTAACGCACTAATAGAGTGGAAGTCAAGTGCATGGCGCACACTAGAGAGGACTGCTATCCAGTACTTCGTCCTTTCTTCAGAATTCCTCCAGGGTCGTTTTCTGCTGAAATCTTTGAATTTCTGTAATTTATAGGTTGTAGTGTGAGGTGACCCAAGGTTGCTATGGCGATGGACGTATGCACACGAGGCAAGAGCGCAAAGGTTTGGACAACCGTTCCTTTCAATGCGACCGGTGCTGAACTGGATCGACAAGGTTCCCGAAGACGAAGGACATGAAGGCGGGTGAGTGTAAACAATTTCTTCCTTTTTTTCCTTCCGCTTTTACATTTTTTCAGTTTTTTCACTTTTACCTGGTTTTCAATTTTTTTTTCAAATTCTGCTTAATTCCGACGATAGTCACGTTTCACATATCTGTGATAGGTCAGTGAAAACTGAATCAAACCTCCTAACAACGTGTCTTTTTTCATCATTATGGCATTTCGTTGTTTTTGTGGTACTTTTGCAGGTTTACTGGCATTCTTTTCGCTTATTTTACTGTTTCTTCTTCGATACAACTCGTTACATGTACAGTCGTCATAAAATGTTTGAATGAAAGCGGAGGCCAAGACCTTGGCTGAATAATAAAATTTCTGCCCTGAAATATTGCAATATGGACCGTAGTATCACTTTTCTTCGTG